CCAAGTGACAAAATAATACTTGTAGTACAAGCAACACTGGTATATAATCCTAGTTAAGCACTAAGATCAAAGACTTACCGAGTACACTCTGGACAGAATGTTGCATACTCAAACCACTGTAAAACAAGTAAAACACATATCAAGGGTTTATAAGGTAAAGGGTATGCAATGAAGCTCTCAATACAAAGTCACATGAATTGCACAAAATTGCAAGACAAGCTTACATTTCTAGAAATACTACCGGTATGTACTAAGTAGTAAGTCTGTCAAACAAGTGGTCAGTGTTTGTTATGACTGTTGTTGCAGGAGTTCTTGCTTTGCAAAGCGTTTATTTTCGAGTGATAATTTTGCTCATTTCTGTTTACACCACCAAATCTTTCCAAGCATCCACTGCTTTCTGTGATGCCAATGGTTAAAATATGGTCGATTGACACACACATGAAATTTACAAAATCACCTAACAAAGATATAATGTTATAAGTTCTTAGTATCGTTTGTATTTTAGTAGCTGACACAAGTCACTCCACTACAAGTAACTCTCTTGATGTGAGTATATCATACTTTTATTTTAGTCTTCTTTCATTAAGTGAATTATTAATATTTTATTAGTTTTCATATGGCTGTTTTTGGAACTGTATTCAAATATAACCATGTGCAAACATTCTTGTCAGTTGAAATAAGTGGTTAATGAAATAAAACTCGAAACGATATGCACAATCAACTGGTTATCTGACAAACACAAAACACACTGAATTTCGATTATCACCCTCCACCCCCGAAAAAGCAACACAATTATTTTAACCTGTAAATGTAACATAGCTCTTTACATCTAAGATACTCACCCAAGTCTGTCAATCAGACTGCCAACTTTTCGTTTTGATGTCTGAGATTCCATGAATACTCTGTAATAACAATTCAACAACAAAATTATGTTCATGATGCATCTCCATCAATCTTTAAAAAAATTATACAATAAATAACTTTGCTTTATATTGTGATACAAAACTATGTCAAAATCTATTGACAGAAAGCTTTATTTAAACCACAGATCTGGTTGGGGTGCTTTGCGAAATAAATATATTTTATAATTATAATGCATAGAGTACCTTTTTTTTTTAATAGTATACAATCATGAATATATAAATAATATGATTTTGACATACATGTAAGTCTACGCGTCAAGCAAGAGTTAAAGTATTTTCGCCCATTTGAATAGAAATACATAGAAAAAATAAATGTTGACAACCAATAAAACACTTTAAGAACAGATTTTGCTTGTAATAATTATTCAAAATACAGTTAACTTACTGACTTTGTTGGAGAATATTAATACGTAGTTTAACGGATCCCGTAGTCTCAGTCTTGAATCCAAATTTACTGAGAATTTCACCCTCATGGGTGGTAGGAACTGCTGTATACGTTGGATCTTCCAGCTCAGGAGATCCACCGATAAAGAATCTTCTCATTTCGTCAATTAATGAGTTACCTTGAGGTCGCCATGTTTTGATCTCTAGTTCATGTGTGCCTATAGAAGAGGTCAAATTATACACATGGAGAACAAATGCACTGATTAAATCACCACAGTCGTCCTGTTAGAATTGCATGTATTAAAACAAACTGCTATTTAAATGCGTTATCCACATCACATGGGACTTGTTCTCCCCAGGGAAATAGCATAGCATAGCATATCGGCTAATTTGAATAACAGAATATGTTATTAATCACCAATTCATTACAATATACCGGTATGTAGTGAGGGGATCCCTGTTGGAAATGCTCTGGGAGAATGCTGGGGACCCGTATTAAACACGATGTGCTAGTAAATATATAGCATTACTCCATATATTAAAGCCAATAAATGTCAACTCAATGTTCAACAGTATTGAATTGTGTACATCCATATTCTTTAGTTCTTTATGTTTGTCATAAAAGGGGAGTGATCCCCCCACCAATCAACACCAGATATGATAACTAGTGGGTACCTATAGAATTAAGGGGGGTGAATTTATATGTATATAAGATATTTGCAGAAATACAAATTTAACTCAAATTCCCACTCCTACTTTAAAAATGTACCCTAACCCTTTAATACCTGAGGTATTTGGGAAATCTATATAGCCATATCCTTCAGTTCTGTATCTCTGCCAGGAGTCTAATGACAATACTTCTACAAACAGCTGTGGCCAGTGTGGCATAACATATTTGTCATCCTCAGTTATGTCATCATTATGATAAAGAAGGTCAAATTCAAATGGACAGCAAAAATATGCTACATTTTCCTGTGAAAAATAATGAATTATTATCATCACAATATGCCACTCAGACATGCCAGAAATGAGACATGTACAGGAGTAGAGTAATTTATTATAAGGATATTACAATAATAATATAATGTATGCACAAAGGCAGTATGGTAGTTGTATAATAGTATAATC